TTTTTATCCAATCAGATGCTTAAAATTAGGGTTTAAACTCTTACCACATTAAACAATTAATAACCTTGATGTATCAAAACAAAACTAGACTCTGTTTGATTTGGTTAGACACAAATAAACCTTAACTAATTAAACCAACTCCCCTTTTAACATCTAGCTTCCTTTCGAGTAGTAGTGTATTTTTTTTTGTTTCTATGTATGTGCTCTGTTATTTTATGGTCTGAAACTCTGATCGAATGGATGGTTTATGTAATGGATGGTTTATGTCTTGTGTTGTAGCTTTCATCCACACTTGTGTTGGACGGTTTGTTTTGTTTCCTTAAGGGCAAATTTCGGCAAAAGGTACCTGTTTGCCCTTTAATTTTTTGAATTTGAGGGTTTTTACCTTCTATATTATAATACATGAATTTTTACCCTTTATATTTTCGAGTTTGAGAAAATAAGGTAAAATTTAACGTCGGAGCGTCACGTGTAGCACGTGCACCGTTAGCCTCCGTTAAGTATACACATGTTAGCGCCACCTCAGACTTTTTTGACAACTTGGCATGCCAAGCGAGAAGTCTACCTGCTACCAATTTTATTTGTGGACCCCACCACTGACTAAAGGTTTGAAAAAGAAAAAAAGACAGATGAATGCCAAGAAACCGTCCGACTATTCACTTTCCTCTTCCCTTCTTCAACCATTTCTTCAACTGCTGCAAATCTCTAACATCTCAATCAATCTATTCACCTCTTCATGTCAAGTTGTAAAAAAAGTCTGAGGTGGCGCTGACATGTATATATTTGACGAAGATCAACAGTGCACGTGCTACACGTGATGCTCCGACGTTAAATTTTGCTTCATTTTCTCAAATTAAAAAATATGAAGGGTAAAAATTCATGTATTGTAATATGAAAGGTAAAAACCTTTAAATTCGAAAAGTTAAGGGGCAAACGGGTACCTTTTGCTAGCAAATTTCAATACAAACAGGTATGCAAATCGCTTAGTTATTATTAATTTTTTTTTCGAACAATGAAAAATTTTTTTTCACGAAAAAAAGAAAGGAGACTTAGGATTAAAACTTAAATCTCGATAGTTCTAAGTATATCCTACAAGAAAGGCCAGTAGGTCGCCAAGTACTGACGCAAATCGCTTAGTTATTAAACTGATCTTTTCTTTTACATTTCAGTATTAGCTATACAATACCATAACCCTCTACGCTTGTGTTCACATTTCAACTTGAGTTTTCTATTAGGAAAAATTTGTAGAAACAAAAATTTTAGTACAAAAGTCCATTAAATATATAAACTAAAACTTAAAATTTAAGATATCAAAATATAACCTTACCAAGGACTCAATTATATAGAATAATTTAATATTTTATAATATTAAAAAAGTATTCAATAATTTAAACATAAAATATTAATTATTAAATTAAAAAAAAATCCTAATATTAAAAGATTTCTTAATAAAATTTTAATTTGAGTGATCCACATATAAAATTTTATTTACTGTTGATTTGATAGATTATCCATGTCATGCATTACGCCTGCTAGGAAACTCGATTTTGGCTATTTTGTCGTTTTAGGAGACTTGACTGATAATTTCAAAGTTACTTATTATTGAGTATCACTTGCGAAACAACGTTTAGTGGATTTCTATAGCAAAGTCAGCAGAAATGTTATAATCACATAAATTTTTAAATATTATATTTTAATTATTAATTTAATTTAATTATTAAAAGCACCTAACCCTTGTGCCTAGTGGCATCCGCCACAATGGAAAGGTGTACTCCTTTTTTGGATGGGTTTAATCCTGTCCCATGCTTAATTGTTTAAAAAAAATTTAATTATTAAAAATAATTAATAATTATAATTATTAATAAATAATAAAATAATTAATATTTATTATTTAATAAATTAAAATTAATTTATTTATAAAATAATAAATAAATAAATTTGTGTAGTCCCAATACAATAAGATATGATCATATACACCTGTCAAATCAGGACCACACAAAGTGCATGACTAGAAATGGAGTGATCACTGATGGTTTTAGGGAAAAAAATTATTTTTAATCTGATTGACCTGCAAATGAAATTTTATTTTTTATTGATTTGATAGATTATAAACGTCATGCATTACGTATTTTATGAAATTTCTGGCTATTTTGTTGTTTTAGGAAAGGCAGAAGGTGCAATTCAGCCTCTGTACTTGTAATGTTGTTGTAAGTCAACTTCTATACTTTACACTATGGCAAATCAACCCCTTTATTTCACCAAGTCCGCATAACAAACCTTTTAATTAAACTGACGTCATGCAAACGTTAAACCCTTCAATTGCCGGTTAAAGTCAGATGAGGTGGCATTGATTGGGCACTGATTGCTTTTTTTTTTTTTTTTGAACTCAGTGAAAGGCATATTATTTCATCAAAATCATGCGGCATCTATAAAGAAATTTGATGAAATTACAAATAGATTAAGCACAACTAAAGAGAAAAGAGAAAGTAAATCAAGTTTAACATAAACAGATAAAGAAGGGTAGTGAGTATTTTACACGAACAACCACTAAAGAAACAGATTAACAAATTCTTTTGATCGACCGTTTCAAAGATCTGGACATCCTTTCATCTGCTCTTGCATAATGAATGCTTGGTCTCTAGGATGCCATGGCTGGAACATTAAAGCAATTGACGACCACCTCCTAAAAACTTCATGATTGGCTTTTGGACCACCAGATCTAAGAAAAACCAACACTAAAAAAACAAGAAATAGAAAGAAAGGACAACAAAGGCCACAAAAGAACTGACAGACCATTTAAAGTGGTCACTGGACATAGGAGCACGATGTACCAGCTCCACCATGCTTGCATCAAAAGCTCTAGAAGCCCAAAGGCTTCCAAGCACCCAAAAAGGGATGAGAACTGGAGAAATTTCAAGGCAGCTACTAGAGAGTTCTAGAGAAGAGAGAGAGGAGAGAGAAAATGTTGAGAATTGCTTAGCACTGATTGCTTTAATATAAATGAAAGCTTCTTTTA